AATATTAAAAAGCAGATGTCGGAAACCGAAAGTCAACAGTCTAGTGCCAATCTAGGGCAGATATTCCCACACACCATGTACAAGCCACTGGGTGTTTCTCTAGAATTCAGCACAGTTCACTAATTTATGCCCAAAACAATAAGTCTTCCTCCCAAAAAGATGAAATTATGATCAGTGCCCCTGTTTAGTAAGAATCGAAGGCATTTTAAGATATAAGACGTTCCAATAAAAGTTAAAAGAGAAGGAAGGCTATGGAAGTACTGAAGGTAAGGACCTCTGGGACAAGAAGCTGAGCTTTACTAACAGGGAGATCAGCTCATCTCTCACCTACGGCTGTCACCTACGGCTGATGATGCCGGGACGAGAGCCTTGCCACATTATTCCCAACGCAACAGGGCGGGAAAGCCTCTCTGCCAGGCACCGCGCGCATCACACAGACAAAGCCACAGGCTACCACTCACCCCCAACAGAACCTGACTAGCTCTTTACTCTGTGGCTATAATGTGTTCTAACTCCAATCATCTGTGCCAAAAAATCCACGACTTATGAGCACGTTGGTCAGTGGAACTTGCAGGTTCCTCTTTCGATGTGAGTGAAGTGAAATTCCTCAGCCCTGGGGCGGCTCTCAATTCTCGCACTGGAACTCCATCCTTGCTCAGCATCCGCTGGCCCCTGCTTTCACCTAGAGCATGTTCTGTGGACTGAGAGTACATATTTCACTACCAATTCTCTGAAATCAGAGACAGAGACCACATATCTGTAGCTGGTCTTTCAGAAATCTGTCCTTTAATGCAGCCATTCCTTTAAAAGCCACTTCTCAACAAAGAAGTGGCCCTTGGAAAATCTTTCCAGGAGTCTCAGATCCATCTGGTAGGAGGAAAAGAACCTAAGATGCTGGGCTGACTTTATAACCAGTTTAATTTCACACATGTTACATTTCTGGAGCTGCCTTATTTTTCCCTTTTTCCTGCATTACTGCAGAGAAAATTCATAGACTCTCTAAAGGTGAGAATCTCACCCATTAGTAACAAAATCTCACTTTATATTAAGTTGGCCTTTCTTTGGAGACGTTCCAACTGCTTTATAAACATTCTTTCAGGCCGCAAAGCAGGCAGGTGGTAATTATTGTTCTTTCTGGACAAGAGGTTGAATTGGGAATCTTAGCCATGCAGAACTGAAATGTTTTTTAAATGGCTTTACTTTTTTAAAAGTAAAAGCAAGGCTTTAAAAATAAGAGGACAGATATGACCAAAAATAGGAAAAAGAATGGTACAGAAAATACCAAAAAAGGAGAATTCTCCTATACAGCTCAGTCTCAGCACCAGCTTCTCGAAGCTCCTACGGCGGTGCAGCTTCAACACCAGCACTGGACTGGAAAATCAGGCCTGGTGAATGCTAATTTTGGCGCAAATAAGAGCTTTTCTCTTTTTCTCTCTTGTATTTGCCAGGAAACAAGATCAACAATCCTAACTCCATAAAGTAAAAGCCAAAACTAAGGTGATGCACATGGACTTAAAGCTATTATCCCCCGGACATTAGTTAGGTCAGCATATCATAACACTAAAATGTCACCCATGTGCTGGGTTTTTAGTTTATAAAGAAACCCTTCCCACTCACTCCTTTTATCTTGATGCTGGCCCTGTGAAGCGAGCATAGTTTCTCATCCTTGTTTTAAGAAGAGGAAACCGAGGCCCTCTGGCTGCCACGGGGCCCCTGCAGCAGTGCAGCAGGGGTCTGCATTTCTCTTCATGCTACATCTTTCCCTGTGCTGCCTTCTCTTCTGTTCAGTCTTTTCTTACCCCCAAGGAGTTGACAAGAAGCCTTAATTCCTTTAAACACCACAGTGGAAAGAGCATGGGTTTGGAGTTTTGAGACCTAGATTTGACTCCCAACTCTGTCCCTTGGGAGCTAAGGACCCATAAAGTTACTTAACATGTATGTGCCCACGTAAGATGAAGGGAATACGCACTATCTCATACAGCTATTAGGAGGACAAAACAAACTACTATGAACTACTACACCCTTCATGCCTAGCCCAGTGCTTACTGCACCATGGATACTCATCAAATGACCGCCACTGATAACTTATTCCCTGCAGAAAGGTGGAGAGCAACTAGGCCTTGCAGGGATTTCTGAAGTGCTCAAAGTGCTAAAGCTGTGGGGTGGTGGGCAATGTACCAGTCACAACGTCCAGGCCTTGTCCTGCTTTCAGTTTTCCAGAAAATCAAGAAAAGAAGGGGCTGCTTTTGTTTTAATACTGCAGCTGCTCATGTTGACAACTGAGCGCAAGCTAGTTTGCTCAGGATTCCACCATGTGGTCCTTCTATACCTGGAGGCAAACATCCAAAAGCTGGCAAGGACTCAGAGCTGTCCCAAGGGAGAGATTAGCTCTTTAAACCACACAGACCCCAGTTATCTAATCTATAAAGTGAAGATAACACCGACTCATCTTATGGGATTGTTATAAGGATTAAATAAGCTAAGGTGTGTAAAAGCAATTAGCTATATTCTATATACAAAGCCAGGTATGGCATTATCTCCATTTTACAGCTGAGAAAACCCAGGTATAGAGATCAGCTGAATGAAGATAAAGAGCTAGTTGCTTGAGGTGGGCGGACAGACCCCAGCCTCCTGCCTCCCAAGTTGTCAGCATCCTGGGCTGGCCTCTCTCCCAGCCGCCGGCCCAGTCACCCTGCTGGGCTTCCCTCTGCATCCTCCTGGGATCCCTTTCACTGCTTTCCTTCTGGTTGGATCCTCTTTCTGACTCACACATCTGCCTCTTTCTTGGCTTCCCTCTTCATTTTGCTAAAGCACATCCTTTAGGAGTTTCAGAGAACACATGGGAGCTAAACTTTTTGAGCCTAGTATGTCTTAAAATATCTCTAATTCTACTCTCATGCTTAGTTGGCTGGGTATAATTCCAGGTTAGAATTATGCTCCTCAGGATTTTACTGGCAGTGCTCCATGCTTTCAAGTTTCCAGTGTTACTGATGAGACGTTGATGCCATTGTGATTCTTAACCATCCACATGCTTTCTAGAAGCAAGTAAGATCTTTTGCAATTTCACACGGAGATGCCTTGGGGTGGGTCCTTTCCCCTCCTGAGCTGGGCACTCTCACGCCCCTCAATCTGGAGATGCAAATCCTTCAGTTTTGGAAACCGTCTTTTGTACTGTTGCCTTCACACGTCCTCCTCTCTGATTTTCTCTTCTCTTTTTCTGAAATGGCTGTCAGTGAATGCTGGACCTTGAGGATTAATCCTTGTCTCATCTTCTATCCATTTCCCACTTTTTTGTCTTTTGATCTATTTTCTGAGAGATTTCTTCTACTCCAACCCTCCTCATGGAATTTTTACATACATTTTCTTACATTAATTGTCTCCCCCCCCCTTTCTTTAACAACAAGCTGCATCTCACTCTTCCCTTCCATATACAGTGGCTATTCTGATTTCTCTGGAATTAAATATATTTTCTTTAAAGTTTTCTTCTGCTCTTTGCATCGTCTCTGTTTCCCTCAAGTTCTTTTTTCTGTTTATTTTGGACTCTTTCATTCCAGAGGCTGTTCATTCATATTTAAGAGCGAGGCACTAAGAAGCTGGCTGGCAGCTCTGCATGCATAGAAGGGGCTTATCCACTGAGTGGCTGGGAGGTTAGGTGGCAGGCTGACTTTTTCACTAGACGACCTCCCTTCTTAGCATCTCAGATCTCTTCCCTGGGACCATTCAGTTTCTCCCGTTAAAAAAAAAAAGCTCCAATGTGACTCAGTGTTGAGACCCTAATGAGCATGTTTGCCGGTGTCCAGGGAGCAGGGCTGGAAAGGGGGCTAGGGCTCCACAGTTCAGTATGCGTGCTGTCAGCCTGTCTGGGGCAGTAATAAATGGGCAATGAACTTGAAAAAAGCCCCACGAGATTTCAAATTAACCCAAGTAAAAACCTTAGGCACAGCAAGAGCTTTTTATTTTTACCATTTCCAACTGAAATATTTCACAAGTGAAGACAGGGAGAGAGACCAAGAGCCTTATGATCTGGGTCTTTCCCCTTCCTGTTGTTAACTTATACATTATGTTCCCTTGTTTCTGCCCTTCTAAGGCCAGACTTACAAGCCTGCCATCATCACCATTTCAAGAATGATGAGGTATTTTTTCACTTGTTATGAGTTTGCTGACAGGAGAAATGAGAAAGACCCTGTTGTTTGCGACCTACACAGACAGCATTATTGAGTTCTTGACCTGGTCTGGTCGTCCACGACCTTTAGGACAAGCTAGGGGAGAAAAACAGGAAAGAGATGCTGGGACGATCCCAGTGCATGTTCCCCTGTGGAAGAACCACTCGGCAGGGTCACGAACACCCTCGCAGCCTGCCCACTTCTTCAGAATTCTGTTCCCATGACGAGGACGGTGCAGGGCTGCCAAGCACAAGAAAGAACTCCATTCACCCCACATCACCAAGCACCTACCGCAGGCAAGAAGTACCAACTCCATATTTCCACTTGCTTAAAAAGTGAGACTTTTTTTAGGCGCTGCATTTGGAGCATAAAAGGCCTTTAAATATTCATGCTAATTTCTGTGCTTTGATTATAGGTTACCTTGCTGTGTAAGACGGGTCTGAAACATATTTATTAAATATTATAAGTTTAAATTCTACTATAAGTACTAGAAACAGACTACTCTACACAGTTTAGAAACTATTAAATATTGAAGTCAGAGGCCCTTAAGAAGATGAATGCATTTATCCATTTTGTCCCACAGCTGTGTACATTTAAAATGCCGAGCTGAATTTTAAAACTCTTGTTAGAGTAAAAATTCCAATTCTAAAATTTATTCCAAAGTGACCTAACGTGTAGAGAAAATATAATGCCTTTAGGTACCACATGAGCTATGAAATTTATTCTTAGTTTATCAAACAAACCTTAATTATCCTCTATTGAGCTGCCTTTCCAACTAAAGTGACTGTAGGCGTTTCACATGCTGCCCGATAGCTGCATGTGCATAATGACACTTACCAGGTTTTTGAAAAGCGCCGTCAACTCCTTTGTAAACACGGAGAACTTCAGGAACGCACTTCCCAAATCCGGGTCATCTCTGCACACGCAGTTGCCACCGAACTTCTCCAGAGCTTGGGTGTACTGCTCTTCGTTCTCCACGTGAGCTACAATAGCAACGTGAGACGCACTGTTAACGTTTCAGCCTCACCATCCCCACCAGGCTCTTCTTAGTCGTGAATAAAATCAAAAGCATTAGAATAGAAATCTGAGAAAAGTCACGTTGCACCAGGAACAGAAATAACTCTGCAGTCCTGACAACATCCCAGTGTGCCGGCAACCGATCCCCAAGAACAAGTACGAGTCCTGGGAGGAAAGAGCCTCACACGAGTCCCACGGCCTCCAGCTCCTCAGATGAGCCTGCCGAGGGCACTCCAACGCCTTCCACATCTCCCGGGACTCCTCCTTGGCCTACAAGATGGCAAGAGTCATGAATCAAGTCAACAGACTCAGCCCTCCCCTAGACACTCAGCAAAAAATGTCCGCTCCTCTCTAGCTCGGAGCTCACGACTCCAATCCGGAGCCACAAACCACAGCTTCTTTCAACACAGGAGGAGCCGTGGTCCTCGGGGCACAGGCCAGGGCAGCAAAGGTTAGTTGGGTGCCTCTGTGCCTCTGTTCATGATGTGTCCTGTGCCCAGAGCCCTGCCTTCCCCAACTCCTGTGCATGCCACAGACTCATCCTTTCTCCAGGAAGCCCTCAATGACTCTGCCCTATGCCCTGGGTGTCTGGCTTTGGTACCTTCTTGTCCTTGCACTTCACATGTTACAGTGAAATTGTCTGATAAATGTGTTCCCCCATATGTTGGAAGTGTTTAGAGCATAGGGACTTAGTTTCATTCATCTTTGTGCCTGAAATATAAGACAACACACATGTTGTTTGAACAAAAAAAGCAAACCCTGGTCATCTATCTGAGGGCATTTGACTACCATTAGGCCTCAAAGCAGCAGCTTAAAAAGTGAAAACCTGGATTCTGGGTCTCCAGCTCAGTGGTTCCCAATCCCTGTTGGACATTGAAATCATACATGGATCTTGATCAAGCTGTAGAGAAGCCAGAGTCCCGTCAGACCTGATTCAAGAACGGGGAAGGGGATAGGGGACATGGGTAATCTGGTAAGTTAATGTGGCTGAATATAATTCCTTCACTTCAGGTCAGGCATTTTTAAATGAATCCAGCCAGCCTATAACAAAACAATTTCTGTTTGCATGGACACCTGATTTCTATTTTTTCATCATTTCAATTAGAAACGTAATACAACTTTACAGGCACGACAAGGCAGGCAGACATGCAGCATAAACTTGTATGTGAACTTCACTAAACTCTTCCTCAGGGAAATAAAACCACTGTCAGCCAAAACCAATGCCTGGGCTGGGCCTGACAACCGGTGCAAATGAGGGAACATTTATTTGTGGAGAGCAGCCCTTGACCCTGAGCCAGATCCCCATGATCCATGAATGGTGTGCACACCCACCCCACCAGGGAGGCGCTTTGCTCTTGACCTCCAGTGGCATTTGGATGCCTTAGGGGATTCCTAAGTGGATCTAACAAACACAAGAGAAAATTAATTTCACTGTTCAAGCCCTTTTCCTCTTTTTTTTTTTTCCTTGACATCCCAGAAAAAGACCTGAGAGTTCTGGATAAATTAAATGCTTTTCTGAGACTACACTCAGCAAATGAGTTAAGACAGAAACACAGATCCTGAAGTATATATGCAGAGTGAGAAGAGCCCTCAGAAGACCTGGGTTCCAGTCCTATGCCTTCCAGTAAATAGGCATGACCTTGGTAAGTCATTGACTCTCACTGGGGCTCCTCCTCAGCCACATGAAGGTTAAAGGCCCGCTGTGTGATACTCACAAGGTGAAGGTAAGAATCAAAGAACGAGGTAAGAATACAGTTCAACTACACTCAGTACACACACAACAGCACTGACAATAGTTCAGAGCAGCACAGATGTCATTTATTTTGAGCACAAACGATTTTACTCATGTTTTTTCTCCACTTCAGAACAACTTTATAAGACATGTACTTTCTCATAATGCTGAAAGGAAATTGGGGCTCAAAGAGATCAAATGACTTGTTCTAGGAAACAGAAAGTGGCAGAGCTGGGGTGCAAACCCAAGTTTGTCTGATGCCAAAGCCCATTCTTCTTCTACTCTGCTACACTGATGTTTGTTTCATTGCTAAAAATAGCTTACCTTGCCCAAACCAAAAGTACCCAAGTTTTAGATTTTTAAAATTCCATTTTGGAGATGGATCAGTTATACGTTCTATTTCACTCAACTTACAATTCTAGAACATGTGGTCAACAGCGAAGGGCAGTTCCTTTCAAACCACATGCTATTTTATAACTATGTCAAAATTGGTGGTCAAGTCATGGGCAATTCCAGTGTGGTTTTAGAAGGGAGTGACAGCCACAAGCAGACGTCTGGTGCTGATGTCACTCCACTGGGTGAGAGAAACAAGAATGTGTGGTGCCCTTCCAAATGGTGCCTGAACCCTCACAGCTGCTCTAAGTGAATACCCCCAGGGCAGGGGAAGGCAATTAGCTTTTAGTAAATGCCTATTAGCCTGCCTTTAGCCTTGTGTCCAATTTAACCTGATAACACTACAAGGTGTTGTTACTATCATCCCCATTATCTTTTGAATAAAGTGGAGTTCAGAGGGGTTATATGATTTGCCCAATATGATTTGGTAAGCGGTGGGGCAGGGGTCAAACCCACCCTCTGCTCACTGTGCAGGCTGCCGCCCAGCCCATGGTCACCTGTGGGAGAGAGGAACCTTCGTTCTCTCCAACCTGACCAACCTGACACAGAGGAGAAGCAAACAGCAAGGCTTCATGATCCAGCACCAAGAAGTATGAACGAACTTCCTATCATCCTTCCTTCTGGGCTTCTCAACTGACCACCTGGTAGAGGTTATTATTTTTTTTTTTTAATTCTTTCTCTTACAAATCTTCAGAATAATGTGTTGATCCCTGCAACCCCAATGCTGATCAGTGAGTCTTCTGGCTCATCACCATCATCACCTCACGTATGTATATTTAAAGTGTTCTGATCCACTGCAATGATTATTTTCTGATGTTCAAACTGTCCCAGGTTAGGTCAGTGGGAACTTCTTCACGCTGATCTAGTTGGGATTTTTAACGCAAATTTCTCTTCTTGCAAACAAATTTGAAGGTTCTTGATAAAGACCATAGCCCTGTGGCTCTCTGTCTTCCCGTAACACCTAGCATGGTGCCCACTGTAAGAACAGTAAACTCTCCATAAATACATATTAACTGACTGTCCTACACCTCCAGATCGCTCAAAGTTTGAGATTTTCCTACTAGAGAACAGCAAGTAGTTGAGTGCCTTTACTTCTCTTTTGCCAAAAACAAATTTAAAATAGGAACCTAAAATAAATAGCTTGGGAATAAAGTTTCTGGAAAGAACCCAAACCGGGTCTATCAGCTTTTATTTACAGAATTGTGAAAGCTGTTCTTCTAAAAAGAGCTCACTCTATCACTTCCCCCCTGTTCAAATATATCTTTAACTCTGGTTTTCATTAATGATCCAGATCCAAGAATCTTTGATGTGGGAGGGACTTAGGAAAATGAGAATCTGAGTCACTGAGACCACAGCACATGAGACCACATTTCTTCTCAATTCTAACCCAGCAGCCCTCCCATTTCCCACACCTCACTGCACAAAAGTCATGCTTTCTACCAATCCATTCAAAAGGATGAAATGAGAGACTCTCACAGGAAAATCTACTATGGAACCAGCAAGTACGTGCATATACTGAGTTTAGAAGTAAAGGATGGGTTTTGTTGTATGCTTTTTCTTTTACTTGTTTCTCTTATTTAAAAAAATTGGTATCCAGGAGAAGGCCCAGTGCATGCAGTTGAAGCAAAAACTGTTGCATCAAAAAAGGATGAAAGGCAGCCCCTTTCCTCCTACTCAACAACAGGCCATAGCACAGTGGGGAAGAAAGCCACTGACCCAGTGCTGCCAAAAGACAAGAAGGGTCCCATGGCCAATTTGCCTTCAACCACCTTCCCCCCTTCCATCTCAAACATTTCACTCATCACTTCCAGCCCTGCAACAGGGTGTGGCAGTACACAAGGGTGTGACACCAAGACCAGTGTGATCAACATCTAGGGAAAGATACATCAGTCCATGCACTGATGGCCTGCAATGGGCCAGGCAACGCACTGGGCGCTGATGATTCAGAGCCACCAAGAAGGGGACATTTGAGCTGGGGCTCCCAGGTCAGGTAGGAATTTCTAAACAGAAAAGCAGCAGGAGCAGGAAGGTATCAACCCCAGGGGAACATCAAGGAGTCCTGTGTGTTTGGAGGTTGTGAACACTTTCTCGGTTTTAGAGCCCCTGCCTGTATGCAGCTTTGACTGTCAAAACCATCACAGGGCAGCACAGGCTGCACTGTCCACCCTCCACAGGGCCATCCATGCCCACTACAGGGTCTTTTCAGTCCAAAGGATCCTGAAAGGGGACCTGGTCTAGAGTCTTCTCTCTACAGACAAGGAAACCAAAGGTCAGAGAGGGAGCTGATTTGCTCAAGTTCACAGAGCTAGTCTGCAGCAGAGCTGGAACAAGAACCCAGGTTTCCTGATGCCCAGTCTTCCAGTGTTCTTCCAAACATGCTAGGAACTGTTTCTTCATTTGCTCACCACACAGTCTCTATTCTCAGCTCTCAGCTAACACAAATGTGTTACAATCCTGCAGCCAAGCACATGCACTTGTAACCCAAATAACAAGGAGAAATGGGGCAGGCAGTGGGCAGCCTGATGGCCACTTCGCCTCAGCCTCAGTGCTCTCTCTGTCTAGAACCCTCCAACCCCTGCTCCTGGCCAGACTGCTGGGCAGGCAGGAGGTCAGGCCAAGGCAACTCATCTGCTGACACTGCACATACCAACCATCTGCACAGAGAGCTCTGCAAAGGGTGTATCTGAAAGAGACACATGTTCTCTGCAGTAGCAGCTTTCTAAAGACACTCCCTAGATGACATGGTGACTAATATTCAAACGTGAGCCACAATTTTAACGTGAGGACTCAACATAAAGGAGACCATTTCCCCTCAAGCTGTCAGCTCTACATATCGCCTGG